CCTCTCCCCATAAAAAGACACCCAAAAAACCCCAAAAGCCCAGGTCCTTTTTGAATTTGAAATAAGATGAATAATTTGACCCCGTTGAAGAAATCCATCAGTAGGCACTCCATTGCCCTTTTATCATATCATTATTTCTGTACATTATTGTAAATGCATAGACCTACTTTAAGACAAGACAGTTTACTACCGTTTAGGAAGGAGTGAAAATTAATACTATGGTATTTGTCTACCTTACTATCTGACGATGTTTTTCTTCCAAAATAACGTTGAATTCTTCTTCAGTAGAAAACATCGGTCTGTTTACTTGGCAATTGTTTGTGTTTCTGATGATGATGATGATGATGATGATGATGATGATGATGATGATGATGATGATGATGATGATGATGATGATGATGATGATGAAGAATACCTTTTCTCAAACTTTCAGGTCTCAGACATACTTTAAAAAACCCAATATTTCTGCAACCGCTTCTTTCAGCCCAGACTTTCTATTCCTACACTAAACAACTATTAAAATAACTTATATTACGTTTTCTTTTTAATTTCAGACATTTCGGCAAGATGAGGATCTTGGTCTTCCTCACATTCTTGCTCCAGCTAAACCTCATTGCCGTCGCCAATGGTGGCGTGCAGTCTCATGCTGGCCAAGACCTTCAACAGGCGTTTGGCCTTTTCAGCTGGATCAAGAACCTCGTGAAAACTGGCAGCAGTGGAACTGACATCGTCAACAGATACTACGAGAGCAAGAATTCATGTAAGAGACGTACATTTTCTTTCATCTTGTTTAGAGTTGTATACTGTTTTTTTTTGTTTGCTTGTGTGTTTACATACTTGATTGCTTGTTTGTTGGTTAGTTTGTTTGTTGATTTGTTCTTTTATTTATATATTTTTGTTTGTTTGTTTGATTGATTGTTTGCTTGCTTGTTTGTTTGTTTTCTTACGAAAACCAAAATAAATTAAGCCAAAAAAGAACTCTTACCAAAAGAACTCCCCTCCACACAAAAAACAACACAAAAAGAACAACAACAAGCAACCTCAACCCAAAAAACAACAAAAAACCCCAACAACAACCAAACTCTTATTAAACTAGAAGAAACCACAGCCAAAAGAGGCGTTAAACTGATTGACAAACGTTTCATTTGACAGTACGCTTCTGTCCCCCTGACGTGCTGTTTCTCCTGGACGGCTCTGACAGCGTGAGTCCTTACGGATTCCAGTCTGCCAAAGAAGCGCTCATCCGAGAGATCCGCGCAGTCACCAATACGTTTGCTGATGCCGATGTTGGAGTAATCCTATTCAGGTAAGACGCAGCCCACTATAGTATAATATAATGTATTATATCATTATTATCATATTAGACCGTCGAACCTGCTCTGACGGCCTCCTTTATTAGATAATCACCTGCTTGAACAACCTCCTGTATAAGACAACCCTCCTGCTTTTATAAACGGCCACTTCCCATTCCCACCCTTGGTTATTTTTTTTTTTACATTTATAGTGACACTGAATAAAACAATCATCTTTCTAAGATAAATCCCTTTTCTCCTCGACAATGGGTGCCCGTCATAGACAGTATACATACATGTACAAAAATATATAATATATTTATTTATTTCCCCTGACTCCGACCTCCTCTTGTCTCAACTCTTACCCTGGCATAATATCTTGTTATAATTCTTTCATGTCTTGTCTTAGAACATCACTTTGGGCTCCAGTGGCCGAGTGAGTGGTGAGAAGAGACTCAAAAATAATGCCAAGAAAGTGTTGGTGACACGGGGTTTAGTTTGGTGATCACTGGGGTGTGTCCTTGAGCAAGATACGATTATTCCTTCCTCAAAAGAACAGGGGGGCTCCACAGTGGCAACAAGCAATGCCATGTTTATAAAATTGTTTTAAGTGTAATATGTGTATTCGTTGTATGTATTTGTATGTTTGATCAACTATTTATGTGTGTATGTTCGCCATTGCAACAAAACGTTCTCTCCACGGGGATCAATAAAGTGTAACTTGTGTATTTATGTATTTGTATATTCTTTTATCTATTTGTTTATTTATTTATTCATTTACTCGTGTGTTTTATTTTCCCTGACAGCGACTACCTTCAGCAGATTTCTCTGAAATCGAGAACACCGGATGAGATCGAACAACTGATCGCCGAAGTTGATGGATTGGTCCAGCCAAGAAAGAAGACTTCCATGCCCAAAGCTCTTCAGCTCGCAGGGTTAGCAACCTATATTATGCATCCTTTTTAAATTGCATTATGATATAGTGCTTTGTGAACTATTTTTACTTTCGACGCAAGAAAAAAAGAAAGAAAAAAAAGAAGTAAAAGGAAAAGTAGATCTACTAGGCTACACAGCCGAAATTATGAAATAACGCCCAGGACTCTGTACATTGTACTGACTTGTCCCTAGCCTTCTTTTTGTCCTTTCGAGAGCGTCAAGGGGTGAAAGAGCAGGCTTTTGGTCAACATTGGATGGAGAGATGGACTGGTGTTATCTTGTTTCTGGCCATATCACGACTGCTCTGAAATAGTGGTTAGGTGCTGCGCTGTTGCACGCAGGGGACCCCAGTCGATTTCCGAATGAGGAGCAAATTTTTAACAAGTTTCCCGGTATTTCTGTAAAGATATGTCCATCTCAGCCCAGGTTGGTCCAGACAAACAAGGTCGGAAGCCTGCCTCCTAAATTATCCAAATTGTGTGAATGGAGGCGTAAAAGACCACCTACATTTTATAAAAGAACGGTTCTCTTGCCAGAGTCAGTATTCTAATCTGTTCCAATACGACGTATTGCCCAGTGGCAAAAGGCTCTCAGACTCCCAAACGTATTGTCGTGGATTCGAATACCGTTGGGTGCCCGTCGTTGTGATCTTGGGAAAGGCACTTAACACGAGTTTTCCTCCCTTCCCCCTTAACCGGGCAGTAGACAGAAAAATAATATCGTGTCAGTTTGGAGGTGTTTGAGCGCCTGTCATTTGTAGTTTGCATTCTTTGCTTCTCTGGAAGCCTAGATTGTTTGTGGGTGTTCTAGTGTCTGCTAGGGTAATAAATAATAGTTGTAAAGCACTTAGAGCATACTGTACAGCGTGGATACGAGCTATTATAAGACAATTTTTAAAAATACTTTGATTCTGGTATGTTAAACGGGGAGGAGGAGGGGGCGGTGTCGATGACATTGGCTTTGGTCTCAGTGGGGTTGTTGGAATGTTTGTGTCCTCTCATGA